GAACATATTTTTCCTCTCCGTGTTTCTCCAAACACCTGACTTTGTCTCGTCTGCACAGGACTACCACTGGCAGTGGCGTTCCTTCCTGACAAGCGGCTTCACTGCTCTTTATTTCCTCATCTACGCCATCCATTACTTCTTCTCCAAACTGCAAATCACCGGACTGGCCAGCACCATCCTCTACTTTGGCTATACCCTGATCATGGCTCTCATCTTCTTCCTGTTCACTGGTAGGTGTATTATTTTTTTTTTCTTGAATGTTTTCACTGACCATTACTCTGACCGGAATAGTTGGGATTCGCCTATTTATTGCCAGAATTCTGAAAGGAAAGGCTCTTCCAGGACCTTCTGCCTTTACTGAACATGTGAACACACAAACGTGCAAAAAATATCTAAATTTGTGAACACACAAACGTGCAAAAAATATATAAATTCTCTAAATGATATGCCTCCAATAAAGTTCTGTCTGTCAATCGATCCACCGACCGACCGACCTACCTATTTACGTTGTAGATTGAAAGTTCTTTGATATGTAACAAAAATCTTTAGAATTCATCATATAAGCCAAACTGCACCCCCAGTGTGAAGAAGTATGAGAGTGTTCACACGACCACACAAAACAATTCTGATTACTAATCAAGATAAGTCAACACTGCTTACCCAAACTGTGTAACAACTATAAGTTCACCGTGAATAGCCCTAATGAATCTACGTACTTATACAATACCAATGAACAGTACCACACGATGCAGGAACAATATTTCACCCTTTTACAACACTGCTGCACCCGCTCAGACGTGTGCTTAGCCTAGTTTACACTGCCCCCATGTGTTGAAATGCTGAAATTACGATCCTGGTAACGTTAAGAAAAATGTTGCGACGGTTGACTGTGGTTCGTTTTGTTTGTTATTATTATCTTTGTAAAGTCAATTGGTTGCGACAGACAAATTCACGTCAAACATATATACATCTCGATAAAAGAAAACATGTTCTCAGGTTGTTATTTCCTATCTTTGTTTCACTTTCCGTTGAGGACATGCACATTGATACTGTTGGCTTTCCAATGTATCCGGGATATTCAGCCACAGTTAAACCCGGAAATACCAATTTATTGAAGATGCTAGGTCAGTTCTTGAACAGCTGAAACACTTTAATCATGTGTATAATGTTTTTTGGAAATATTAGAAATGATCAGAGGTGCCCAAACTTTTTTCATACGACTGTATGTACAGTACGTACGGGTAAATGAGATTTGGTTTGGGAAAGATACCCGCGTGTCATACATGGTAAACATTTAATTAATGTTAGGTTATGACCTAAGTTGGACACAGGAGGGCACTGTTGTTGTTGTTCGACTGTTGATAACAGTGTAGGGGAGGTTCGTAAAGGGTAAATATACATATACAGTGGATATAAAAAGTCTACACAGCCTTGTTCAAAGCTAGGTTTTTGTGATGTAAAGAAAGACACAAGAATAAATCGTTTCATAACTTTTTTCCACTTTTAATCTGACCCATAACATGTCATAGGCGATTGAAAAACAAACTGAAATCTTCACGAGGGAAAAATAAAAACTAAAAACTTAAACTAACCCTGTTGCATAAATATGCACACCCCTGTATAACCGGGGGCATGGCTGTGTTTGGATTCAAACAATTACATGCAAACTCATGTTAAATGGAGTGAGCACACACCTGTCACCATGTAAAGTACCTCTGATGAACCCCAAATAAAAATCAGTCAAAGGTATCAGTCAGGAGAAGGGTACAAAACAATTTTCGAAGAAGTTAAATCAACCATGGAACACAGTGAAGACAGTCATCAAGAAGTGGAGAAAATATGGCACAACAGCGACCTTCCCAAGAACAGGATGGCCGTCCAAAGTTGATGGAAAAAACAAGGAGAAAACTGGTCAGGGAGGCAACCAAGAGGCCGACAGCAACACTGAAGGAGTTACAGGAATATCTCTCAACTACTGGCTGTGTTGAACATGTGACAACAATCTCCCATCTCCTTCATGTGTCTGGGCGGTGGGGGAAGGGTGGCAAGACGGAAGCCTTATCTCTCAAAGAAAAACATCCAAGCCAGGCTACATTTTGCAGAAAGACATTTGAAATCTCCCAAATGCATGTGGGGAAAATGTGTTGTGGTCCGATGAAACAAAGGTGGAACTTTTTGGCCATAATTCTAAAAGGTATATTTGGGGCTGTTTTTCTTCAGCTGGAACTCGGGCCTCAGTCAGGGTGGAGGGAACTATGAACGGCTCAAAATACCAGTCTGTGTTGGCACAAAAGCTTTTGACTTCTGTCAGAAAACTGAAGATGAAGAGGAAGTTTATCTTTCAACATGACAACGATCCAAAACACACATCCAAATCAACTAAAGAATGGCTTCACCGGAATAAGATTGAGGTTTTGGAATGGCCCAGCCAGAGTCCGGACCTGAATCCGATTGAACATCTGTGGAGTGATCTGAAGAGAGCTGGGCATAGGAGATGCCCTCGCAATCTGTCAGATTTGGAGCAATTTTGCAAAGAAGAATGGGCAAATATTGTGACATCAAGATGTGCCAGACTCATAGACACTTACCCAAAAAGACTGAGTGCTGTATTTAAAGCCAAAGGTGCTGCAACAAAGTACACTATATTACCAAAAGTATTCGCTCACCTGCCTTGACTCATACTATGAACTGAAGTGCCATCCCATTCCTAACCCAGAGTTCAATATGATGTCGGTCC